CCTTTTTTGGCTCCGGGACGCGGGGGGGGCGGGGTTTTTTTTTCCTTTTTTTTTTTTTTTTTTTTTTTTTTTAACAATGCTTAAATTCTTTATCCCACTTCTGAAAACCACGCTTTCAATTAAATAAATCTAAAGCAACTTTAGAACATAAAAGTAATTAATAAAAGAAAAGATAAATGGAACATTTTGGCCAATATGTAAAATGCTATTCAATATAAATTCAATATGCATGTTGAAAACACAAAGCTAACACTGAAAATCTGCGTGAACGCACCAACATTACAGGGTGATTGCAGTTTTCCATTAGCAGGGACATTGAAGCTGGTCACAGTTGAGTTGAAAAATAAATAAATAAATACATCCTGTAAGAAACCTGTTTAAGGACAGAATGATCATGAATATACAGCCAACTGAAAAGCATAACTGTTTTAGAAAGGTCAAAGTCTTGACCTAAACCCAACAGCAACTCAATAAATTGATTGATAGATTGAGAATTAGACTGAGAGCTAGTTGAAAAGTCAACAGGGAATCTCAATGTAACATGACTGAGCTTCAGCTGTTTAAGGAGGGCAATTATTTAGCACAATTAGGTAACTCAAGAATAGCAGCTATAACTTCAGTGAAAGTTGTACTAAGAAGCAGAATACAAGTGTACAAATTGTGAATGGGGTATGGATATGAATAGAATACCGTACATATTTCAAAAAGACCAGTGTGTTTTCCTTTTTTATGATAAATCAAATATTTATAATGTAATGTACAAGTTGATCAGTTTCATCGTTCCACATCAGTTTTGAGCAGATCGAGTTACGGTCTTCGTCGCCATCTAGCGGTGATGCACAAATACAGTTCAAACCTCACAGAGCATCTCAGCAACAAGACACTTCACCTCTGGTTCATAAAACCGTGACGTAAAAGTTAAAACGAAAGGTCAGAAATCTTGATCAAACCATTTATTTATTTTTCTCCAACATTTATGAAGCCAGAAGGAAAATTTGATTTTGATTGGATCATCCACAATGTCAAAAACAATGAGCTATTTTCTGATCACCATCACGTCAACACAGTGCATACACAGTACCATTTACAGTTACTAAAAACCCGGGTCGTTACAGTCCTTGTTTTTAATGAAAAATATTCTTTCGAGCATGGCAATTAGGCTGATCTTTTTATTTTCCTAACTATGCCTTTCTTTTGTACAATTCAATGTTTGCGTTCACAAAGTGAGTGGAATGACTTCAGACGGTGAGAAATGAACTGATCTGTAATCTGTGGATTTTTTTTTCCTTTTCTTCTGTGACTGCACACTAGAGTAAATTAAAAATCCCTGACAGGCTACAAACCACCCAGATTTATTAACATAAATGAAGATGTCAAAGCATTAATAAACGCTATATGTTGTGACGTATCCAGGGGCCTAACATTGTTTTTACTTACCGGTAGTTTTCTAAACATGTACATCCATCAGTTTCACACATCTTAAAGAATGTTAGTAATAGCCTGGTAAGCAAAGAGCAGTAAATGCAGATTTAACCGACTGCAGCAAAGCAGTCAAATATTATCATTCAAATAAGGACGGAAACATGCAAAGAAAAAGTGTATGAAGTGTTACATTTCACAGTCCGACGTATCAGACAAACAGATTGATTCCAATTCTTGGTGAAACCAATTGCTTACTGAACACATTTCTGCTACT